AGGATATCTCCACTTGCCTAAATTTCCCTCTGCCTTACATGCTCTTTGCTGGACAGCCTCACCAGCACCTCATTCCCCTCTTGCTGGTCTCTGCTGAGATGTCACCTCCTCAAGGTAGCCTCCTGACTCCTGCACCCCATCATTCTTCACCCCTCTACCCCAGTTTACTCTTCTTCGAGGCACCGATTACTCTCAGGCATTGTTTATGTGTTTTCTGTTTAGCACACCAGAATGTGGCTCCATGAGGGCAGGGACTTAGCTTTATTCACTGCTGTGTCCCCACCTCTCAGACCAGGGCTGGCCTGACACAATGTAGGCTCTCAGTGAATATTTGTTGAAAGGCTGAGTGACTGTCCACGAAGGAGAAGTGCCAGGTGAACTACAGGAGAGATTCAGGCTTCCTCTTGCGTGATAATGTGAAGCCTGAAGAGAAAGTCTAGTTCGGGGAGGGGAGAAGGGCCCGGAGTTTTGGTGGCTTCCCAGACCCCTCTCTCCAGGTAGGAGGAAGTGAGTTGAGGGACAGGGTGAAACAAGAGACAGTATGGCTGTAAAGGCTCCGAAATTACATTCAGGGAGGACCAGGTGCCTGGACCTCCCTCTCAGACCCAGAAATGAGGGGACTGGAGGGAAAGGAGACAGGGAAGAGGAACTGGGCTTGGTGTGACTTTTCTAGGAGCTTCCATCCAACCATAAGTGTAGTCTGACTCTGAGACCACCAGGACCCAGTGGCCAGGGGGGCTTACGTCTGGGCTGCGGTGTCCCCTGATCTCCGCAGGACACAGGCAGCCCTTTCAGTGCTTAACACCCCCCAAACCTAGAGCAGGCTCTAGATTCTAAAGTCCCCGGAAAGCAGGGTTTCCTCCTGACTTGGCAGAGGAAAACTCACAACAGAAAGGGATTTTTATTTATTTTTGGGACAGAGAGAGACAGAGCATGAATGGGGGAGGGGCAGAGAGAGGAAGACATGAATCGGGAAACAGGCTCCAGGCTCAGCCATCAGCCCAGAGCCCGACGCGGGGCTCGAACTCAGGAGTGTGAGATCGTGACCTGGCTGAAGTCGGACGGCAACCGACTATACCATAGCCAAATGGTTTATTTTGAGACAGAGAGAGACAGAGCTTGAGAGGCGAACGGGGGGAGGGCAGAGAGAGGGAGACACAGAATCGAAACAGGCTCCAGGCTCGGGCCATCAGCCCGAGCCCAGAGCCCACGTTGCCGAATCACGGACATGAGACAGATCGTGACCTGGCTGAAGTCGGACGCGAATCGCATCGCCACCCAGGCGCCCCTCACTGTCCTTTCTGTTGTAAGGTGAGTTTTCCTCTGCCAGAGTCAGGAGGAAACCCTGCTTTCCTCGGGATCTTAACGAGCCTGCTCTAGGTTTGGGGTGTTAAGCACTGAAAGGGCTGCCTGTGTCCTCTGAGGAGATCGGGGACACCGCAGCCCAGACGTAAGCCCCCTGGCTACTGGCCTGGGTGGTGGTCTCAGAGTCAGACTACACTGTATGGTTGGATGGAAGCTCCTAGAAAGTCACACCAAGCCCAGTTCCTCTTCCTGTCTCCTTCCCCAGTCCCTCATTTCTGGTCTGAGAGGAGGTCCAGGCACCTGGTCCTCCCTGAATGTAATTCCCGAGCCTTACAGCCATACTGTCTCTTGCTTCACCCCTGTCCTCAACTCACTTCCTCCCACCTGGAGAGAGGGTCTGGGAAGCCACCAAACTCCGGGCCCTTCTCCTCCCCGAACTAGACTTTCTCAGGCTTCACATTATCACGCCAAGAGGAAGCCTGAATCTCTCCTATGTAGTTCACCTGGCACTTCTCCTTAGGTGGACAGTCATCTCAGCCTTTCAACAAATATTCACTGAGCCTACATTGTGTCAGGCTGCCCTGGTCTGAGGTGGGGACACAGCAGACAAAGCTAAGTCCTGCCCTTCGGAGCCACAGTCTGGTGTGTGCTAAACAGAAAACACACAAACAATGCCTGAGAGTAATCGGTGCCTCAAGAAGAGTAAAACTGGGGTAGAGGGGTGAAGAATGATGGGGTTTGGGAGTCAGGAGGCTACCTTGAGGAGGTGACATCTCAGCAGAGACCAGCAAGAGGGGAATGAGGTGCTGGTGAGGCTGTCCAGCAAAGAGCATGTAAGGCAGAGGGAGGAATTTAGGCAAGTGGAGATATCCTGAGGGAGGCTTATACCCTTTTAATACTTCTGGGTTGTTAAACAGGGCATACACTAATATTTTAATTACTTATTTGCTCATTTAGATTTCATTGATTTGATGTGACCTACATTTTAGAATAGATTACTGGATTCCCTGCATTATTACTTCTTAGACATTTCATGAAGGAAAAAAAAAAAAAGCAACATACTTAACCTAAGTTTTTTGGAGAAAAG